GAGAGCGTGGAGCCGCCGCCGCCCGCCCCGCTGCACTTCATGTACGTGGCGGCCGCCGCCTTCGTGCTGCTGGCCTTCTTGGGCTGCGGGGTGCTGCTCTCCCGCAAGCGGCGGCGGCAGCACGGTCAGCTCTGGTTCCCCGAGGGCTTCAAAGTGTCGGAGGCCAGCAAGAAGAAGCGGCGGGAGCCCCTGGGTGAGGACTCCGTGGGCCTCAAGTAAGTGAGGGCCGGGATCCCCAGGAGCCGCACACCTGCAGGCCCTCTCTGCTGGCCTGGGTGGGACTTGGTGTCCATCTCCAGGAGGGCCAGGCCCCCCATGTCCATGGCCCTCCAGCATGTTTTGGGGGAGCCTGGCACCCCCCGCCCACACTAGGGATGGCTCCCAGACCCAGGATTCTCCACGGCATGATCTAGAAGGATCTGCCCGCCCCTCCCCTGACCAGGCCCCCACCACAAACCTTGCCCCAGTAACCACTGCTCCTGCCCCGCCCACAGGCCCCTGAAGAATGCTTCTGATGGCGGCCTCATGGATGACAACCAGAATGAGTGGGGAGATGAGGATCTGGATCCCAAGAGGTTCCGGGTGAGTAGACGGCCGGCCGGGGAGCGGACGGTCGTGGCGCTCCTGTGCCCACATGGCCCCTGACCTTTCTTTGCTCACCACCCGGTAGTTCGAAGAGCAGGTGGTCCTGCCCGACCTGGACGACCAGACGGACCACCGTCAGTGGACACAACAGCACCTGGATGCCGCGGACCTGCGCGTGTCTGCCATGGCCCCCACACCGCCCCAGGGTGAGGTCGAAGCCGACTGCATGGATGTCAACGTCCGGGGGCCAGGTCAGCTCCAGCCCGGCTCTCATCCATCCCCCTGCCGCCCACCTGTTAGCCCTTCACTCATCCGCCCACCTGTTCACCTGCCAGTACCCACCTCTCCAGCCACCCCACTGGCCCCTGCCCTGCCCGGTGCCTGGCAGCCTGTTCTCACCTGCCTCATCAAGGTTGGAGGCTGAGCGCTACTCATGGGCAGGGGGCCTCCGTCCATCCCAGGTGAGTCACCTCTCTCCACCCCTCCTGCAGACGGCTTCACCCCCCTGATGATCGCCTCCTGCAGCGGCGGGGGGCTGGAGACGGGCAACAGCGAGGAGGAGGAGGACACCCCTGCTGTCATATCCGACTTCATCTACCAGGGCGCCAGCCTGCACAATCAGACCGACCGCACCGGCGAGACCGCCCTGCACCTGGCTGCCCGCTACTCACGCTCGGACGCCGCCAAGCGCCTGCTGGAGGCCAGCGCGGACGCCAACATCCAGGACAACATGGGGCGGACCCCACTGCACGCTGCCGTGTCCGCAGACGCACAGGGTGTCTTCCAGGTGAGGTGCCGCGAAGTAGCCGCGGGCAGGCCGCCAGGCTCAGCTGTGTCCAGTCCCCCTTGACCCACTCCTGGTCCTGAGGCCATCGCAAGGCCTGGGGTCTCACAGAGGCCCCCATGCACTCCACCATGCCCCCCTACCTTTTGTCATGGACTTCTGTCCCCGCCACCCACCCCCAACCTGGCCCTCCACTCAAAAGGATTTGGTTTAGGGTTTATGCCGCTCCACCCTCTTGGCCTCATTAGCATAGCAAAAGACGAGGGCTTCCCAAGGGTCCAGGAGTTGCCACTGCAGAACTTTGGGTACCTAGCTGGGGTCATCTGGGAAGTCCCAGCCGGGGTGGGGCAGCGAGGATCTGGGGGCTGCAGTGAGGCCGCCCACCCCCGCCCTGTGACCCTGGCCTCAGCCCTGCAACCTCCTCGCCCTCCCCCTGGACGCATGGCAAAGAGAGGCGGGGGCTGTGGCCGGAGGCGATGCTGGAGGCAGGGAGAGGCAGCCGGGAGACTGGCAGCCAGCACAGCCGGGGCTCCCGCTGCTGGGCCCCCGCGGCTGCTGGAGGCGGTTGGAAGCTGGGTCTCCGGGGCCCAGGCTGAGGCAGCCTTTGCTTCCATCCCCCACCCCCACCCCCACCACCAGGGGAACCATGTGGGGCCTTCCGTTTGCCAATAATCTTGAGCTCAAGTGATTGTCAGGAACGAGAAGTGGGCTTGGGCAAAGGGGTGACCAGGCACACCCAGGCAGGCCCTTTCCCTGCACCCCCGCCCGCCCTGCCCCCTGGCATCCACTCCCAGGGTGCGAGCGTGCAGCTCTGGGGTGCTTCTGCTCCCCAGTCACCGGCAAACACAAACCCCTTCCTGACGTGGTGGGGGCCCTGTAACCGCTGCCCGCAGGGCTCGGTGTTGTGGGGTGCGGTGGTGTCCCCTGGGTGGCGTAGCCAGGTCAGAGCCTGGCTGTGTCCCTGCTGTGGGCTCAGGGGACGCTCATGAGGCCATAGTCGGTCCCTGCTGTCCCCATGAGCTGTCTGGGAGGGACTCGGCAACTGGCCTGGAGAGATGGGCCTTGTTGGGATCTGGAGGTCATCCAGTGGGCTCCATAGGCCCCCAGGGGGCCCGTAAAGCCCACTGGACGCCATCTGACATCCCACGACCCGCCCAGATCCTGATCCGGAACCGAGCCACAGACCTGGACGCTCGCATGCATGACGGCACCACACCGCTGATCCTGGCCGCCCGCCTGGCCGTGGAGGGCATGCTGGAGGACCTCATCAACTCCCACGCCGACGTCAACGCCGCCGATGACCTGGGTGAGCCCTGGGGCACTTGCTGCCAGGGAGCCAGTACTGACCCACAGCGGCCCCTCTGGGTTTCCGAGACGGTCTCTGTTCGGCGGGAGTCAAACGCCCCGTCTTTCTCCCGACTTGCTGCTGGTGTTCCAACTGACAGCCATGGGGATCCAGTCCGGCGCACAGCCGCTAGTTACACCACCGCCACCGGTACTCTGCCGGAAATGCCGGACTGAGGCCACTCTACCCACTGCCTTTCTGCCCTGCAGGCAAGTCAGCGCTGCACTGGGCCGCCGCCGTGAACAACGTGGATGCCGCCGTCATCCTGCTCAAGAATGGGGCCAATAAGGACATGCAGAACAACAAGGTGGGCCTGAGCACCCCCCACCCTGGGGCTGGCAAGCAGGTGGCTGAGCTCCTGGGGTCTGGGCAGCAAGGAGTGGGCCCAGTTCACAGCCCCTACAGCCCTGCCCCTCCGGGCCTCAGTTTCCTGACCCGTAGCGTGACGGTGCTTCCGGTCCGAGTGAGATTCCTGGGTACACAGGTAGGCAGTGTGTCTGCCCACCCTGCCTGGCAGTTAGACAGCTGACCCATCCCTGCCCCTGAGCCTCACCCTGGACCCTCAGCTGTGGAGGCCGGGGGAGAGGGTGGGCCCTGGACGGTGAGGGGGCTCTGCCTCCAGATGAGGCAGCCGGCAGATGGGCCCCAAGCCTGGCCCCGCGGTGGGAGAGGGGAGGGGGAGGAGCCGCACAGGTGCTCACTGCCTGTGTCCGCAGGAGGAGACCCCGCTGTTCCTGGCCGCCCGAGAGGGCAGCTACGAGACGGCCAAGGTGCTGCTCGACCACTTCGCCAACCGCGACATCACGGACCACATGGACCGGCTGCCCCGGGACATCGCCCAGGAGCGGGTGCACCACGACATCGTGCGGCTCCTGGATGAGCACAGCCTGGCCCGCAGCCCACAGCTGCACGGTGCCGGCCCCGGTGGCCCGCCTGCCCTGTCGCCCACCCTCTGCTCCCCCAGCGGCTACCTGGGCAACCTGAAGCCGGCCGGGCCGGGAAAGAAGGTCCGCAAAGCCAGCACCAAGGGCCTGGCCGGGGCTGGCAAGGAGGCCAAGGAGCTCAAGGCCCGGCGCAAGAAGGCACCCGACGGTGCCGGCGTGCTGTCCCCCGTGGACTCTCTGGAATCGCCGCACGGCTACCTGTCGGATGTGGCCTCCCCGCCCCTGCTGCCCTCCCCGTTCCAGTCGGCCCAGTCCCTGCCGCTCAGCCACCTGCCGGGCATGGCCGACGCCCCTCTGGGCCTCGCACACCTGAACCTGGCGGCTAAGCCCGAGCTGGCTGCACTTGGGGGGGGCGGGCGGCTGGCCTTCGAGGCTGGGCCGCCCCGCCTCTCCCACCTGCCCGTGGCCCCCAGCACCAACTCGGTGCTTGGTGCTGGTGGGGGTGCTGTGAATTTCACTGTGGGTGGGGCCGCCAGCCTCGGGGGGCCATGTGAGTGGTTGTCCCGGCTACCCCAGCACAGCCGGGCACCCAGCCAGTACGCCCCGCTGCGCTCTGCGGCGGGCACCCTGAGCCCACAGGCAGCCGCCCTCCAGCACAGCGTGATGGGCCCCTTGCATAGCGGCCTCTCCCAGATGGTGAGCTACCAGGGCCTACCCACCTCGCGGCTGACCGCCCAGCCACACCTGGTGCCCGCCCAGCAGCCACAGCCGCCGCCCCCAAGCCTGCAGATGCAGCAGCCCCCACAGCCCCACCTCAGTGTGAGCTCGGCGGCCGGCAGCCACATGGGCCGGGGCTTTCTGGGAGGCGAGCCCAGCCAGGCGGACGTGCAGCCGCTGGGCCCCAGCGGCCTGGTGGCGCATACCATCCTGCCACAGGACAGCCAGGTCCTGCCCACCGCACTGGCCCCGCCCCTGACCACCGCCCAATTCCTGACCCCACCCTCGCAACACAGCTATTCCTCGCCCACGGACAACACGCCCAGCCACCAGCTGCAGGTGCCCGAGCACCCCTTCCTCACGCCGTCCCCCGAGTCCCCGGACCAGTGGTCCAGCTCGTCCCCACACTCCAACCTCTCCGACTGGTCCGAGGGCATCTCCAGCCCGCCCACCAGCTTGCAGTCCCAGCTCAGCCACATTCCAGAGGCCTTTAAGTAAATGGCCGCCTGGCCAGGACCCCTGCTGCCTGGCCCTGCCTGGCCCAGCAGCCGGACACAGCAGCCCAGCCCGGCACCCGGGGAGAGCTAGCGCGTTGTTACCAGAAAGGAGAGGGAGATGCATTTTCACAGTTTTTGCTTCTGCTTTTTTTTTAGTATTTATTGACGGACTTCGGTTGTGCCTGTGGCCACACTGCCGTTTTATTTATACGCGCTGGTTCCTGGGTCCGCAGGGGCTCGCCCGGTCCCGAGGAACCAGCCGTTCTCAGGGTCTGGATTCTCCCGCGTGGAACCAAGAGGCTCGTGACGTGTCTGTAAATAGGAACAAGGATTCTGGATTTATAAATGCCGTTTATTTATTGATTTCTGGCTTCAACGTCCTCCTGCCCCCCCGAAAAAAATGGTGTTGGAGGAAGAGAGTTTAACCAGCATAGTCCAAAAAACTCCTGAGGTCCCTGGAGCCTGGGAGGTGACCCGCCTACACCACCTGTGCCTGGAGAGGCACGAGGGCGGTCCGCCCTCCACACCTGCGGCACCAGGACTCCATGCACCTGAAACCAGACCCCCAGGTGGGCCTCAAGTGAGGCGCTGTTTTTTCCCCAAACGTGCTTTTTCTGATGTGTTCTTGGGGTGCAGTGAGAGTGTGTTTCTGGGTACCGGTCGTGGAATCGTCGTTTCGGCACCAGTATTATGAAGTTGTTCCCTGAGCGTGCAAGTTTCTCTAGAAGCTGCCCCACCCTGGGTGACTTGTGAGGGTGGGGCAGGTCCAGGAGGACCCATCGGTCGGAGCCCATCCTCTGGTGGGGAGAGTGTCAGCTGCCCTGAAGACCCTCCTCATGCACAGGTGGCCCAGGGTTGCAGGTGGGGGACTGGCCACCTGTGGGCCTGCTGTAGGGCCCTGACTTTGAGCAGTTTCTGTTTTCATGGGGAACGAGTGTACCAGAGAGCCTGGGACAGGCTGGTGTCCGCAGTCCCTGCCCAGCAGCTGTGCCCAGCCTCGGCTCGTGGGGGCTGGCAAAGGTGCTCCCCAGTGTGTGGCACCTGCTGGGAGAGCTGCCCCCCTGGTTCAGAGGGGCGCGTGCAGGAAGAGGGTGTTCTCACGTTACCGAGTATGAGCCTGTGGCAGTTAAATGTCTGTAAATATATTTTTTAAAGGTGGATTTTGTTTTAAAAAATCTGGAGACGACAACAAGGGTGTCAGGACAAGTCTGGGCCCATGAGGCCGGGCCCTGCCCCCCTTCCCCCCCTGCTGGACTACAGGTCCTGGGAGCACTGGAGGGGCGGCACCAGGCTGCCCTGTGGGTGGGCTTCCCCTCCCAGCCTCCAGGGGTGCTGCCTGCCCCTCCTGGTGGGGGGGCACGACCAGCCTCAGCATGAGATGTCCAACCTTCCCATGTCTTCTGGAAATAGTTTACAGGAAAAGGAGGCTTTTAAAAGTTACCTACATGTAAAACTGTAGGCGAATGATGTATATCCCGCCCCACCCGTCTTCTTTTGTTAAGTGATTTGCAATAAAGCGATGCAGCGGCCATCGAGATTTTGTTAAACTAGGCTATGACCTGGGCTCATTTTTGGGGGTGTTGCTTCTGCGCTGAGGTAGCCACAGCTGCCCTCATTGGCTGCAAGGATGTCCAGGGGCCCAAGTTGTGTCTAGAAGTTTGGGGACAAGCTTGGGCCAGGCCCCGGTAGGGAAGTAGGGGACGGTGGGTCCCAGAGGAGCTATAATGCCACTTGGATGAAGTCCCCGATGGCCATCCTAGGAGCCCCATGATAGGCGGAGTCTTGAGCCCAGGACAGGGCTGACCTGAGAGCCGTGCTGTGGGAGGATGTGGGGACAGTGTGGCTCATGCTCCTTCACTCAGGTACTGCAGGTGAGGGCTCCCTCTCCCTGCCAGGCACCCCCATGTGCTCCCACACCTGTGCCCTGGACACCAAGACCTTTGTCCCCCTGCCTCACACATTCGGGCTGCCAGCAGATGGCTTGCTCCACACCAAAGTGACAAAGGGGAGTTGGACATGTCCCTTGCTGCTCAGGACAATTGTGAGCCAAGGAATTGCTGGGCTTGGGGGTCAGCAGTTGGAAACCACCAGCCAGCCGCCCCTCGGAAGAAAGATGGGGTCTCTGCTCCTATAAAGGGTCGGGGTCCCGCAAACCCACAGGGCAGCGCCACTCTGTCCTGCAGCGTCGCTGTGAGTCAGCACCCGCTGGGGGCTTTGGGCTCCCCTCCCTGGCCACGAATCTGGACCTGTGACACTAGGAAAGATTCTGGGCGCAGGGACTGTCCTTGGGGAGGGCTCATCCTGGACTGTGGAGCCCAAGAACCCCGGCACCCCATAATCCACTCGTGGGTGTGTCCCCAAAGATGACAGCGGGGCTCAGGATCCCAGAGTCACTGTGGCACACACCCCTGGTATCCACCGGCAGGGCTGCCACACGACGGGGGTCCCTTAGATACGGGGGGAGGGGCACCCTGCTCAGACAGGGCACCCGGCACAGAGCAAGAGGAGGTGCCAGTATGGTGAGAAGCCCTGAGCAGGTCACTCAGAGATGGCCTGGCCAACGGGAGGAGGACTGTGCCTCAGTAGGACGGAGATCCCTGCTGGGGACGGCCTTTGGAGCCGTGTCACGGGATTGTCCGTTGTTACCTGGGCTTCTACGTTTCACCTCAATGAACTCTTCTAAACACAGACAGTCAGGAAGTTTCCTGGGGGCTCCCACAGCCGGGCCACAGACCCTTTAGAGAGGGGACAAGCCCGTTGGGTCCCCAGTGACCCGGAGAACCGCTGACCTAGGAGCCTAAGAATAGAGCAGGCTTGCTGGGGACTGGCCCTGCCCCTCAGAGCTGAAACCATGCAGGCTTCAGCCCAGACTGGACTGTCCATTCTGGGGGAGGGCATCCGGGAGAGCCAGGTAAGGTCACCCTAGCTGGTCGGTCCTGTGGGGGCAGGGGTGGGGGTACCAACCTGCTCACCACACACCTCATGTGCAGCTGGCCCTGGCCAGTCCCCCAGGGCTCCCCAGCCTGGGGCCCTGCCATGCCTTCCAGATGCCCAAGCATTGCCTGTCCTCAGGTGCCCCAGCCCCAGCTTCCTGCCGCCCCTTAGACCCCCTCCCGTTCAGACATGAGGGAGGGGTGGCTGGGTCACCTTTGGAGAGAAGAGCAATAGGCTGTGTGGGCCCTGCATGCAACTTAGGACGTTCTAGCCGCTCCCTGCAGAACAGGAGGCCACGGGATGCACAGCCTTGGGCAGAGGCACCGGCAACATCCTCCCCCACCTTGAACGTGGGCTGCTCCTGGGCCACGGGGCGAGCCGGGCACCGTCAGCAGCCCGGTGTTTTCTGTAGCGTGTCCGTGAACAAGAGCGGGCAGTCCCAGGGCAGGACCTCGTGCGTGGCAGCGGAAACGAGGAAGGCCCTCCACGAGGCAGGTGGACAGTGGCCGCCGCCAGGGGCTCCAACATTAGCACCACGGTGAGGCTGGCGTGGGGCGGGCGGTACTCCCTGCTGCCTTCGACCCGGGTGCTGGGGCTCAGAGCTGATGGGCCCGGCTGCCCCCAACAAAGCGTCCTGGGGTGGACGTTTTATTGCCGTCCGGTGGAAGCTGGCAGAGCAGATTCCGTTTCCGTCTGATGGGCTGGGCGCGTTGTCTTTCTGGACGCAGGACATAGCTCCCTGGGGCAGCAACGCTCTCCCGGCTTCTCCAGGGGGTCCCATGCCCCCAGCCCTTCCTTGCCTCTCCCACCCACCCCGCAGGGCTCAGCTCTGGGAAAAGGCTGCCTTTAGGGCTCCTGGAAGCTGATGGCTCTTCACTGACAGGCCTGTCTGTTGTCTGGCTGGGAGCCGATTCCTCAGAGGTGGCTGGCGGTGGCTTAGCGGCCGGTTCTCTCCTCCCACGCAGGAGATCTCTGCGTCCCGGAGCAAGCATGGCCAGAGGGCTCCTTAGAGCAAGGATGGTGAGACTGCGTCTCACGTCCTTTGGGTGTGCTGTCAGGAGAGACCAGGCCCTGGAGAGGGGCATCGTGCGTGGTAAAGTGAGGGGCAGCGAAGAGGGAGGCCCTCGGGCAGATGGACGGACACTGTGGCTGCAACAACGGGCTCAGGCCTTGGAACGAGGGTGAGGCTGCACAGGGCCGGGCGGAGTTCCCTGCTGCTGTACGAGGGGCCCGCTCTGGGTCGGAACTGACTCGCGTCTAGCAAGGGCAGACAGAGACCCCAGGAGCCCCGGCTAGAGAGCGCCTTGGACCGTCAGCCACAAGGTTGGCGGTTCAAAGACTCCACCCCGCCGGCCGCCCCCTCTGAGGGAGAAAATGAGGCTGTCTGCACATTTGAAAGATGGACAGCCTCAGTCGCTGGCTGAGCCGGGCAGGGCTGGGCTGCGGGTGGGCTTTTCTGGTCTATGCAGGAGAGCGCAGTTTGTGTTCCACCGCCCACTCCGGGGTCAGGGGAGTTTGTCAACAGGCCTCATGGAGCCTCAGCCGAAAACATCCGCCTCCCAACCGTGTGGGTGTGCCTGCCTCTGTGGGCCGGCGTGGGCGCCCAGCGTCTGGCTGCAGGCGAGGGAGGGGCTGCCGTGGAGGGGCAGTCCGTTGGGCAGCACAGTGTTTGTCGCTGTTTGGGCATTTCTTCACTGAAAAAAAATAAACCAAGTCTTAGGAAAGACCTCTTTCCTCTCGACCACCCCATTTCCTTCTGTGTGCCAGGAGAAATCAGGGCTCACAGGAAGGGAGCTGGCATGGTGGGCGGGACCCCTCACAGAGCCACCCCAGCAGGCCCCAGCCCCGTGGGGCTCTGGGGCTGGGAGGAGACTGGGACAGACCCCGGAGGAGCCAGGGCGGCCGGGCGCCCAGCAGCTCTCTGCCCCCCTCTGCTGGCAGCGGCCGCCAGTGCCCTCGTGCGCTCCTTCAGTCGGGTCCGCCAGTTGCACCTGCACGTCACCCTTCCCGCTGTACAGAGCAGGAGACTGGGCTCAAAGGCTGCACCTTCCCAACGGCAGCCATCAGCCAAGGTGGAAACCGTTCATCCACTGCAGAAGGCAGGTCATCAGTGGGCATCAGGAGACCAGCAAACAAGGGCAGAAGGGCCCTCCGACAGGGAAGGTCAAGGACTGTCCTCCAGGGTCTGCAGTAAATCTCAACAAGACAACGACAATCCCATAGAAAACGGGCAGGCCGCATGAACACATTGGTTAGCCAAGAGGACATCGGGCGGCCAGTGGGTCCAGGAAGAAATGCTCACCTTCAGTAGCCGCAGGAGAGCCGCAGCTCAAAACAACGCCGAGCCCACCTCTCGGAGGACCGATGCCAGAACTAGACCCCCCACACACATACATGCACATACACGTACACACAATGCGTGCACACACACACAAACACACATACATGGACATGTACACATAAACACACACGGATAGACACACACATGCACATACATACACGCACACAAACACAGACACACGGGCACGCACATATATACATACAGGCACATGCACACACACATACAGCAAAAGGTAGAAAGGGTATGGAGAGAGTGGAGCCCTCACACACTGCTGGGGAGGTGATGGTTGGGCTGCGGTCGCAGTGGGAAGCGGTGTGGAGCTTCCTCAACCAGCCAGGACCAGGAGCCTCTGGGGCCAGCCGTGTCTGCCCACAGACGCCCGACAGCAGTGGTTCTCACCCTCCCCACACCGCCACCCTTTCATAGTTCCTCATGTGGTGGTGACCCCCCCCCCAACCGTAACATTATTTTCGTTGCTACTTCATCACTATCATTTTGCTACTGTGATGAATCGGGCGACCTCTGTGAAAGGGTTGTTTGACCCCCAAAGGGGTCACGACCCACAGGTTGACAATAGGGAGCAAAACAGGAGCAGGTGTGTGCGCGCTGCAGTAGGGGAGCCGAGGGCACACTCGGGCCGGGCGCGGCAAAGCTGTCAGGCAGCGTGTGACGTGGCTGCTGAGTGAAGGCGGTCACGCCATGGGGACAGTGCGTCTGGGACCACGGCCGTAAAAGAAAGCAATCGAGAAGTTTCCACCCCACAGGAGGCTGGTCTGCCTGGCAGTAGGTTCAGTGGGGCGCAGGGCAAGGAAGTGGAGGGTGAGGGGAGAAATGGGTAAGGCTCGCACTGGACCCGCAGAAGCACTGACACACAGGCGGACGGACAGGTCAGAGCACCAACAGAAAGAAGGCAGGCGATTTCTACCAGCCCAGGGGGGAGTTCACAGCCAGCGAGCCTAGGGTGGCACTGTGCGAGAGCGAGCAGGGCTGGTTGCGGGGAGAAGAAGCCCTTTATCATTCCCGGCGACCCTCTAGGACGGGTTCAGACTGGAGTTGAAAGCTTCCTCTTTGCCTGCCTCGGGGCAGGTGGTACCCGGGCTGCTGGCCTGCAGGTCACAGCCCAATTCGTAGTTGGTAAAAACAGGCAGCTGAGAAATGCACGAGTGGACATGCAGGTCATTAGCTGATCCAGAAAAAATGTAATTAAAAAAAAAAACCAAAACAGAACTTTTCTGGGGCTGCAGGAATCAAACATGGCTCTTCAAACAACAG